TACAAAAAAAAAGGAAAAAAATATTGAAAAAGACGACAGCAAAGAAAGTATATAGAAACCATTTGAAATCAATTTTGATTCTGCCTGTGCCTTCGAGAGGGTGAGCCACGCCTGCCACCCCTATGGTTCCCCATAAGCCACGCCCGCCACCCCCAACTTCAAGCCTGAGGGTTAATAATTCACGTCACAAGCACAACCCACCATAAAGAGTCAACTACAGACAAGCTTTGCCTATGTTCTTTAGCCGCAAAATCACTGCGCAAACTCGACATCCGGTTTTGATATGCAGTTACTGTTAACGATCTTCTTCATAATTTATTGCTATAGATATATATACACAAATGCAAATTTCCTCTTCACATCATTGTAAATTCCATTGCAAATTAAGCTGATTATTATTTGGCAATCATACATTTGAAATAAATCTCCTCCCCATTATTATTTTAGTGTACATTAACTATCACTAATAATAGTGCGATGATTAGACTCTCAAAATTTTGACACTCTAAAAATTTTGAAAAATATTCCAATCTATTCCAACTCGGCTGAAAAAGTTCTATAGAATTTCACTAGAATCATTCTATAGCATCATTCTATATGAATTCTAGTGAATATTCTATATAGGATTTCACTAGAACGATTCTATAGAATTTCTGCATAAATTCTATAAAATTTTAGTGATTTTTAATTAGAAAGAATATAAATTTCATGGAAAAATTGTTTTAACGTTATATAGTTTTAATTTTAAAAAATTTCCGAAACAATTAAAATTTGGTAAAATCTTTTAAAAATAATTGAATTTTTGAAGAATTTTAATTATAAACATTAGGATCATGATTTCTCCAAAATTTTAATATAAGTCCAAAAAGTAAATTTTGAATCTTAAAAAATTATTACAAAGCAATTCTAATAATTAGGTTTTAAAAATATTTTATAATTTTTCAAAAATAATTGTATTTCTTAAAAGAATTTTTGTAAAATTTAAAAAAACTAATGAATTTTTTGATGAATTAACTATAATAATTTGAATGTTCTTTCATTCATTCATTCATTCACTTTTTCTGTCCCTCACACTCTGAAGTTGTCTTTTGTTCATACTTTTGTTTTTTGTTAACTTTAGATAGATTGTATATTATTATATTATTATGTTATAATTATTTTTATTTTATAATTAATTAAAAATTGTAATGCCAAATAGAAATCATCAGAATTTTTTTCACTTCTTTTCATTATAAAACTAAAATTTTGTTAAATTGTTTTGTCAAATTAAAATTATGCGGATTTTTGTTCTTTATTTCTAAACAAAATTAGAAAATTGTTAAACGACTGTGATTAAGAAATAGAAAATTTATTTATTTTGCATTATTTTCTTTATGAATCATAATTTTTTTAACAAAATTATTATTTTGTTTTAGAAAAAGAAGAAAAGTATTTGCACAATTCCTATTTTTAATCGTATTTTTGGAACAGGATTTTCCACAGGAATTAAAACATGCCAAAATTTCAAATTCAAACCTTTTTTTTAAATTAAACAACTTATAAAAGTATTGTTATAAAATATGAAGATATCAATTGCTCCGAGTCGAAGACTCGGAGTGATCGATTTCTTAAAAAAAAAAAAAAAATTGAAAATTAAAAATTAAAATTTTAAAAATTAATTTATTTATTTATTAATTTTTAATTAATTAAAAATTTTTTTTATTTAAATCTTTGAAATTATTCGAATGTTGCAAAGAATTTTATTATTTTTAGAAATAATTGAATTCTTATGAAAAATTTTAACATTTTGTATATAAATTGAATGTTTGAGAAGAAATTTAAAAAATTTTTTTTTTAATAATAGAACTGTTTTGTGAAATTTTAGTAAAATAATAATTAAAATTTGAATTCTTTTTGGGAAATTTTAATAAAATAGTAGATATTGAAAATCATTGAAATTAGAACATTTTTTGAAAATTATTAAAATTTTGACAATAATTTTTTTGACGTTTATGAAAATAATTGTAGTACTTTGGAGAAGAATTTTGTTATTTATAAATATAATTGGGATTTTTACGAGAATTTTAAAAAAATTTTGAACATGGTTGAATTTTATAAGAAGAATTTTATTTTTTTTAATAATTGAATTTCTGCAATTATTTGCAATTTCTCCAAAAATGAATTTTTTTAGTGTTTTCAACAAAAAATTAAATTAGAAAATTTTTAAATTCTATTATTTTTAAAATTGCCAATTTTTATTTTAAAAAGGAAGTAAGAAGTTAGCCGCGCGCTTTAGCGCGCGAATTATTGCTAGTTTTAATTAAAATTTTTGAACATTGTTGTTTTCTCCAAAATGTTAAAAATAATTCTTAAATGTTATTATTTTTGGAAATATGTAATTGAAAATGTTAAGAATATTAAATTTTAAAGAATTAGAAGCTTATTTTTATTTTTAAATTTACATTTAAAAATTTATTATTAAAATTTTTGGTAATTCAATTATTTTCAAAATTTGCAGTTAAAATTCTTTAAAAGTTGATTTTCAATAATTGTAACAAAATACTTAAAATAAATAAATTATTTTCAATTTAATTTTACAAAATTTTAACTATTCAAAAACAAATTTTCGAAAGATTTGTTTATAGTTATTATTTGCATATTATAAAAATCAAAATAAGTTGCACTTTTTTTTACTAAAAATGGTAGTATTTTGTTGCAATGTTCAGAAGAAAAGTCTAAAAAGGCTCAATTTTCTCAATTTCCCTGACAAAAATTTTGTTTCATGACATTTACCTGACTTAATTGCGACAAAAATTTTATCATTTATCACCTGGAAATTATGGAAAAGTCATTGAATTTTATAAGGAGAAATTTGTAGAAACACTGTTTGGTATTGATAATGAGTATAAGTTTTTGAATATAATAAAAGAAATTTGTGTTTTGAAAAACGACGCTGATATGGTCTTGACAATTTTTTAAAACAATTTTTAGGGTCGAAAATCAAATTTGGGAATTTTTTCATCAAATTGGAGCTTTTTTTTTTTGAAAAAGAGCTTTTCCCGAAACACGGAGGTACTCAGAGCTTGTTGATAATTTATTTTTGATTCAGAAAAAATTTGTGTCTTGAAAAACGACGCTGATCCTGACAATTTATTTTTAAACAATTTTTGGAGCCGATTATCGGGCTTTTTTCATCAAATTTGTGCTTTCTTTAAAGAAGAGCTTTTTCTGAAACACGGAGGTACTCAGAAATTGTTTAGAATTTATTTCCTATTCAGAAAAATTTGTGTCTTGAAAAACGGATGCTGGTCTTGACAATTTTTTAAACCATTTTTGGAGTCGACTATCGGGCTTTTTCATCAAAAAGCTTTTTTTAAAGAAGAGCTTTTTCCGAGTACTAATTGAGCTTTAAAGTACCTATAGAGTGGCAGGAATTATATTACAGACGTTTCTAACTTGTTTTTAGATTCGGTTCAGCTAGTGGTTCACTATTAACGATTAATTTGTATGAAAGTGGTTCAACCAGCTTCGCAGAGCTTAAGAAAGGATCAAATCCGTAATGGCCTATTAGAAAATTGGCTTTACAGTGTTACATCCTCGCGTGACCGGGACGATATAAACATACGTGTTAGAAATAATGATACACCAGTTAGTTACACGTCAGTTGATTTTCCCATGGTGTTCTTATATTGTATCCGTGGGTGAATTAGGGGTCCTGAACCATAGTTGTTACACTCATTCAATATGTCAACTGTGGCTAATTTTAGGGAGTATACACAATCGAACGTGTGTGTATACACCCGCTCCAAATACATTCTTTAAAAAAAATGTAAAATTGCACATTAAGAGTCAGCCACTTTGATCTGTCACATTGCCCTCTAATCTTGTTTTCTGTGATAGTCCGACAGTATTACCGATAAATTTATTATTTTGTCTCTCATCGCGTGTTGAAAAGAAAGAAGATCTATTTTTGATTCTTTTAATCTTTTAAAAATCAATTTTTTTCTACTTTTGATTCCTTAAATCTTTAAAAAGTAATTGTTTTCTACTTTTGAATCTTGAAATCTTTAAAAAATAATTGTTTTCTACTTTTGATTCTTGAAATCTTGAAATCTTTAAAATTATTAACAGGGCTCCAACCAGTGAAAGTATTTAAAAATACGGACCAAAAAAGAAGAAAACATTTTACTTAAAAGAATAAATTAAATTTTTTCATAACTATAAAACATGAAGATATTACGAACTACTATTACTATTAGCAACTATTACGAACATTTTATGACACTTTTGATACTATTTTTTATTTCTAAATTCAATCCGTGGCCTGACGTTATCTAACAGTTTGAAACAAAAGCAAACAGAATAAATGTTGGCCGCAGCACTATTTGTAACACACACACACACACGTGTCTTTTTCAAGTTAGATAGTGCAAAATTCCGCCCTTTATACGAATTGTAGGACTTTTTCTGTAGAAAACGATCAAGAGAGAAAGAGAATGAAAAAAGGGCAGAAGACAGTGAGAGAGAATATGGTTCTCTTTGAACACAAAGGACCGCGCGCACGCTTTTGGCACGTGACTGCCTAGTTTTGCTTCATTTTAGGGATAGGTACACCTAAGTGTTAGAAAGCAGAAGTACACAGAATTCTCCTCTATCTGTCCCTCTTTGTCCCACAATTGGCCACAGCTTAGTGCTGCATCATTGCACGAATGAATTGCGGTAAACGTCAACTGCATTGCTCTGCATATATATTTCACTCGTATACACACAACTTTGTTCAAAGTTTATTCATCTGAACAGCAAGTTATTAAGAGGAAAAAAAACGATAACCTATTTCTAATTTCAACCTATCAATATCAAATTTAGAAAACAGCCAGGAAAAAAGAATCCAAAAATTCTACAAAAACGGAAACACACAATTATATAATAGTTAATTATAATTAATTAATTACAATTAATAATTATTTCATCGTTAATTCACAACTAATAGCAAAATTAAATCTAAATTATTTCCGTTTCAGGTAAAATTATTTCTAGAACTTCACAGAAAAATGATAGAACTAATGTCGACCGTACCACTTTGGGAGGCAAATTTAACATCAATGGATATTATTTCAACTTCAAAACATCACCGATCAGAAATTTCGAAACAAAATCCTAATTTACATTACAAGTTAGTATATTATCATCAAAGCTAAACTCAGGGCTCGCACCAAGTCCATAAATTTGCTTCAAGTTCGTAAAAGTGAATGAAATTAGATTCAACCTGTCAGGAATAATAATCGCAACAACTTTCTACAATAATCCTATTAATAAACATGAATTTTTCAGAAACAAATCATTCATACCTCAATTAGTTTACGAACACAAAACAATGCAACGACCATCGGGACTTGCTTTCGATTCCATCAGAAATGATCTATTTATTGCTTGTCCAGGAATTAAGCCAAAGATTATTATTTTAGACAAAAAATTCAAATTTGTCAAAAATTTTTATCACACCGATATGATAGCACCTCAAAGGGTCGCCTATCACGAAGAAACAGAGCAAATTTTCGTCACAGGTAAACATATAAAAATTTTTATAAAATAAAAATATTTTACTTTAAATATTCTCTCTAATAATCTAAATAAGTAAGGTACTACCAACAATTGGAAAAATTTCACTGATTGTTATTAAAAATTATTACTAAATCTTTTGGTGAATGACTTTTCGTCAATTCTTTATTATAAATTTATTACAAATTTATAATTTAATTAAATTATATATTTTTATTGTCAGACAAATGGAGACACTGTATTTTTGTTTTTCACCGACAAAACGATTATTTAAGAAAACTATGCAGTAAGGGCAGGGAAAAGGGACAATTACAAAGTCCCGAAGGAATTTCAATTCATCCAACTGAAAAATTGCTCTACATTGCTGACACCGGAAATGATAGAATTATAATTCTCAATTTCGAGGGTTCATATCAAGGAAGTATTGGTTCGGCGAAAAATTCTTCAGCCGCTATTAACACGTCAGGAAAAACAATTAGCATTTCTGTGAATCATTTAAATCAACCGGCAGACGTTGCCGTTTCCGTTGCGAAAATAGTCGTAGCTGACAGCGGAAATCACAAAATCAAGGTAAAAAATAAATTAAATCCTATGCAAAATAAAAAAAAACAATCTTATTTTTACTCTAAACTCTAACTCTAGTCTCTAATATCAAAATTAATCAAATTCAAAATCAACCTCCAACTAAATATTAATTTCAAAACGTTATAATAATCCACTTGCCTCTTTTAACAATAATTTTTAGATTTTCAATCACAAAGGTCAACTTGTCCACTACATTGGAGGATCAGGTATTCTCAGGGGTCTCTTCAGGTACGAAAATTGTATCAAAAATCAAATACCAATTTAAATCAATTTCAAAAAATACTCTTTCTTTTAAAGAAAGAGAAAAAAAGAAAATTTTTTAACCAGATTCAAGGAAATACGAGAATACAAATTTTAAAAAATCTAAAAAAAATTGTAAAATTTTTCAGGACACCGGAAGTAGTACAACTTGACAATAGAAGCAACATTTTAGTAGGAGATTCAGGGAATTCGCGAATTCAAATTTTCTCCCGTCAAGGTGAACTATTGAAAATGTTTGGAGCAAAAGGATCAAAATCCGGGCAATTCGGCTGGATATCTGGTTTAGTCATAAAACCAAATTTAGAAATCATAATAGCCGACAACAAAAATAACAATCTTCAATTATTCTAACAAAGGAAAAACAAAATTACAATCGTACACCGAAAAAAAAATGTTATTTAAATTAAAAACTAACTAGGTGCGTTGTTGAAGCTTTATATTTTTGTTTAAAACCAACATAAAATTTTGAAAAATAAACGAATAACTATCACACAGTTAACACAGTTAGCAGACTCTGAATCAAACATTTTTTCCCTAAATATAAAATCCAAAATTGTACTTATAAACTTCTTACAAACAAAAAAAGAAAAAAAATAAAAGAAACGAAAGAAAATCACCATTAAAAAAAAGGAACAATAAATGCATTCTTTAACTAAAGACAATGTCTCTAAAAAATTCAAACCTACCCGCAATGAAAAAAAAGAGAATATTTATTTTTCCCAACCACAAATCGAGCCGAATATCAAACAGATTTTCGGTAAACCATGTCCTACCACTCGTGTAAACTCGTGAGCATATTTGACCAATAAATAATTTAGCAAACAAATTGATCCCTGAGGACTATAAACAGATACTTAAAGGCACGCGCGCGGGACGTATTGTCCGACGGTAGAAAAATAGTCCACGGGGCTAATAATGATTTTCATGATGCGATTCACGAAATCAGGGCAATATTAAATCGCCAAAGATAAAGACCCCTACTGTGAGAACCTAAAGGGGGCCCCCGGCGTGAAATCTCTATTATAAGGGTTGGTACGGGTGCCCTCCCTTGTTATAGCGTCCAAAAACTGGTGCTGACAGGAGGTCCGCCTTATTTAGAACCCTCGGAAATAATGTAATCGCGAATTAAATGTTTGCACGGAAATTGAGTATATCCCAGAAAGCATCTAAAGTCGAGGATCCCATCGAAAGGATTTAATTAACTAGAATCATTGTCAAACTACAGGTTACCGAAATTTATTCTTTACATTATTTTTCTCTTCTACTATCTATATATAGCAATATTTTTAATTTCTTCAAATATGAATTTTCTTCTTTAGAGTGGTCACAAGTTTCAGCAGGGTTGCCACAAATATTTAATTTTATTTTTCCCTGACTTTTCCCTGATTTCCAGAAAAAAAATTCACTTTTTCCCTGACCCTAAAGAATATTCTGATTCACTCTAAAAATTATTAGATACTTTCTTAAATAAATATTTAATCATTATTATTTTACTGTAGAAATTAAAATTCTTCAAAAAACCTTTTTGAAATTCAACAACTTATAAGAATATTATTACAAAACATGAAAAAGACGATCACTCGGAGTGATCGTCTTCTTCATGTTTTGTAATAATTTAAATTGCCATAAAATTTTTTAAAAATAAGTTAATTATTTACAAAAATCCTCAAAAAAATCCTTCGCAAGAATTCAATTATTTTTACAAGAAGTACAATTTCACAAAATAATTCAATTATTTAAAAAAAATGTAATAAAATTCGTTGCAATAATTCAATTATTTTTATAAATAATAATAAATCGATTATTCGTTTATTCATCTTTAAATCAATTTTTATTACAAAATTCTAGAAAAATTCAATTATTTAAATTAAAAAATAAATAATTTATTGAATAATTGAATGTTTGTTAAAATTGAATTCTCATTAAGAATTTTATCAATAAAATTTTAAATAACTGAATTCGTTTGACAAATTTTAATAAAATTTTTAAGAATAATTACATTTATCGAGGAATTTGAATAAAATATTGTATAAAAAATAATTCATAAAAATAATAATTAAATAAATAATTAAAATTTTCATAAAATAATTGAATGTCGGAGAAAAATTTTATTATTTATATAAATAATTGAATTCTTACAACGAATTTTATTCAAGTTTATAAAAATAATTGACTTTCGGTGAAGAATTTTATTATTTATAAAAATAATTGAATTCTTAGAAAGAACTATGTTAAATTTTTTTAAATAATTAAATTCTTGCGACGAATTTTATAAAAATATTTTTAAATAATTGATAATTTTCGAAAAATTTTATGAAATTTTGTATTTTAACATAATTGAATTTCTGCAAAGAATGTTATTATATTTTGAAAATAATTGAATTCTTACAACGAATTTTATTCAAGTTTATAAAAATAATTGACTTTCGGTGAAGAATTTTATTATTTATAAAAATAATTGAATTCTTAAAAAGAACTATGTTAAATTTTTTTAAATAATTAAATTCTTGCGACGAATTTTATAAAAATATTTTTAAATAATTGATAATTTTCGAAAAATTTTATGAAATTTTGTATTTTAACATAATTGAATTTCTGCAAAGAATGTTATTATATTTTGAAAATAATTTAATTCTTCCAACGAATTTTATTCAAGTTTATAAAAGTAATTGAATTTCGGTGAAGAATTTTATTATTTATAAAAATAATTGAATTCATGAAAATATTTTATTGAATTCCTGTGAAAATTTTATTACTTATGAAAATAATTGAATTATTTTAAAGAAATTTATTAAATATTGAATAATTGAATTCCTGTGGAATTTTGACAAGAATTTTATTAAAATTTTTTTAAATAATTGAATTTCGATGAAGAATTTTATTATTTATAAAGATAATTGAAATTTTGACGAGAATTTTTTTTTAATTTTTGAACATAATTGAAATTTTGCGAAGATTTTTTGCAACTTTTGAAAATAATTGAATTTCTGTAATCATTTGTAACTTTTCCAAAATCCAATTTTTTTTTAGTATTTTTAACTGAAATTCTTCTATCAATCTAGTATTTATGAAAATTGTAAACATTATTTATAAAATAATTTGTAAGTCATAATTTTATGATAGTTTTTGAAAAATTAAGTTATTTAAAAAGAAATTATTGTTAGAAATTGAAAAAATTGAAGGTTTTGTATTAAAATTCGAGGTAATTTCATAATTTACGAGGCAAAAAGGAAAAAAATTCAGAGTTTTCTCATGAATTTTAAAAATTCAATTTTTTCCAGTACTTTTTGTAAAAATCCCTGACTTTTCCCTGACTTTCCTGACCAATTTTACTTTCCCTGACTTTTCCCTGATTTCCCTGAACTGTGGCAACCCTGTATCAGTTCATCAATTTTCCTGACATTTCCCTGATAATTTACTGACATTAAAATTATTTTCCCTGATAAAATTCTTTTTACGGGAAAATATGAAAGTTTACGGAAAATAAGTAAAATTACTGAAATTTAATAATTTTTAAAAATTACAATTACAGGGTGGTGTGGTCGCTAGTTTCAGTTTATCAATTTCCCTGACAATTTACTGACATCAAAATTTTTTTTTCTGACAAAATTATATTCACAGGAAAATATGAAAGTTTACGGAAAATGATTATAATTTATGAATTTTAATAATTTTTAAAAACTAGAATTATAACCCTTTCTGAATTTAATTATTTTCTATAATTTTCAACTAAACTTCAACTCTAAATCAATTATTTTAAATAATTTTCCGAAAGATCTTCGAAAATTAAATTATTTAAATATGAAAATTCAATTTTTTATAATAATTATAACTGTCCATGTTTTTTTAAGTTTATTAAAGTATAATATTTTCAAAAAATGAAAATAATCAAATTTTAGAAGAATTTTAATTATAAATATGACCATGATTTCTCCGAAATTTTAATAAGTCCAAAAAAGTAAATTTTTATTTGCCTTATTCGAAGATAACTAAATCTTAAAAAATAAAAAATTATGATAAAAGAATTCTAAGAATTAAGTAGTTTTTAAAAAATTTTAATGTAATTTTTTCGAAAACAACTGAATTTCTTAAAAGAATTTTTGTATTATTTTAAAAAAACCTATTAATTTTTTGATAAATTTTAATTAAATATTTTGAACATGATTTTCAAAAAATGTTCGATTATTCAAATATTTTGAATAAAAAAATTCCATTTTTTACAATAACTGTAACTGTCCATGTTTTTTTTTTAAATTAGGAAAAAACAATTCTAAGAATTAGTTTTTAAAAATATTTTAATGTAATTTTTAGAAAATAATTGAATTTTAACTAAAAATTTCGAACATGGTTTTTTCTCCAAAATGTTAAAAATTATTGTTATTGTTTTTTGTATGTATTTGAATTATCGGAAATTTGTAATTGAAAATACTGAAAATATTCAACTTTAAGAAACTAGAAGCTAATTTTAATTCATTTTAATTTTTAAATTTACATTTAAAGATGTTTCATTAAAATTTTTGATAATTCAATTATTTTCAAAAAGTTACATTTTGTAGAAAAAAATATGGTATTTTGTTGCAATATTTTGGACAAAAATTCGGAAAAGTCGCAAGTTTTGAAAATAAGTCGAAAAAAAATCTCAATCTTCTAAATTTCTGACAAAAAAATTTTTTTTCCTGGTCATTTTCTTGACAAAGTAAAAATAAAAAAAATATGTAAATCCTCAGCAGCCAAAAACGGTAATAAAACACAAAACAATAAACATGTAAAAATTTGAAACAACATAGTGACAAAAAAATATGATATAAAAATTTCAAGAAAAAGAATTCATATAAAAATACAAATATATCGACGAATTTCAATAATAAAGATTTTTACTGGTTCTCCAGTGGTACACACTGCTTCAAACGCAGGTGTCTGGTTCGTGTGTATGGCAATTTTTTTTCGATTTCCCTGCCCACCAAAGTATTTGGCAAGGTAAAAAAAATTATTCCATTTATTCAGAAAAAAAGCTATTCCTACCTTCCCCGTATTTATTTAATGAAAATCTAATTTGAAATCAGAAATATACACACAAGTACTCCACGATTCTTTCACATACCGCCCAGATGCAAATTGCCTAAACTAGGGATAAAGGGGCACGTTAGGCTCACCCATACGTCCCGGGACGCATCCGTCACCTGAGCTCAAAACCTACTCACACATTCAAAAATAGAAAAAACAAATTAATAAACAATAATACACTGAATAAAATTTTAATTTACACTTTAAAATATCAATTTTAAAACATTTTAAATTCAAACCTTTTGAAATTAACAACTTATCAAAATTTTATTGTAAAACATGAAGATATCGATGTTTTATAATAATTTACATAAATTACCATAAAATTTTTCAAAAAAAAATTTATTATTGACAAAAATCCTTGGCAAGAATTCATTTATTTTTACAAGTAGTAAAATTTCCCAAAAGAATTCAATTATTTAAAAAAATGTAATGAAATTCGTTTGCAAGAATTCAATTATTTTCATAAATAATAAATCGATTATTCGGAAATTAATTTTTAAATCAATTTTTATTGGAAAATTCTACGAAAATTCAAAAATAAATAATTTATTGAATAATTGAATATTCGTTAAAATTGAATTCTCATAAAGAATTTTATCAACAAATTTTTAAATAATTCAATTCTTTTGACGAATTTTAATAAAATTTTAAGGAAAAACTACAACATTTTTCGAGGAATTTGATTAAAATTGTATCAAAAATAGTTAAAATCATGCGATGAGTTTTATTATTTATGAAAATAATTAAATTTCTGAGAAAAGTTTTACTATTTATAAAAATAATTGAATTAGTGCAAAGAAATTTATAAAAAAAATTTTAAATAATTGAAATCCTGGGAAATTGTTATTATATTTATGTAAATAATTAAATGTTTGCGTAGAATTGAATTAAAATTTTTTTAAATAACTGAATTTCAGCGAAGAATTATCCTGATTATAAAGATAATTGAAATCATGACG